GAGAAAGTGTAATGCCTTTGTCATAATGAGGCAATTATGAGCAATAAATGACATTAAAAGAAACGTTACTCAATCATTCCTATTAAATACAAATTCTCTCAACGTATTTGGCATTTAATGCTGAATTTGGACTCCTTTACGCTATCAGATTCATTTCTTCAATTCCTTCCGATCTTCGAGCTTTAAATGACTCGAACAGGTACGAGTCTCATTTCATTTGAATAATAGCTCGTGCCTTTAAGTATCTTCTCTCCCGCATCTGTTGTTGCTCGTGCCTTCTAACTGATTACCACGCTTTGACTATTTGACTGGTCCACGTGTTATGACACGTCATCTTATATAAATTCAGTTTTTTTCCAATACAATTCTACCAGAAAAAAATACGAATAACCCGAAAATACGAGAAAACCCGAGATTGAAAAACCCGAATTTAATTGGTTTGGTTTGGTCATTAGAATTAATAACCCGATACAATTGGTTTGGTTTGGTAATCATAAAATCCGAACCAACTCGATCTATGTACACCCCTAGGAAAAAGTTTACTCCATAAATAATACTCTACTTGCTTCTTCAAGTGTGAGATCTGCTTGGTGAACAAGAATATTCACCACCAGTTGTGGACCTCATAAAAATTGACCAAGCCGAACCCATTTTTAGGTTATTTAGGTTTTTTTTTTCTTTTCTTTTCTTTCTTTTTTTTTTTTTTTTTAAATGCAAAGGTTCCCCTATGAGCCTACAGCAGTACCAAATAATTAAGATACATTTTTAATTTTCCTGTAAATTTTGAGGAAAAAAAAAAGAGTCGAACCTACTTAGTAATATAAGTACAGAAATATTGATCACATATGTAATTAAACATATAAACATAATATGTTTTAGATAAAAAATGGATCAAATCGAACTAAACACTCCTACCTGAGAGTAATATGCTTCTTTTGTTCAAATGTATTCCTCTACCATGTCCTTAATGTGCAATTCAAAGAACTTATGGAAGAATTTCGACTCCCAGAGTTTAAACTAAGTTATGAGTAGCCGATAAATGGAATTTCAAAACTAGTCCACTATTGCACAAATCTCATAATTCATAATCACTAGTTATTGATTACTTTAACTCTTCATCCAAAACAAAGGCTTTACCACAGAACCCTTTAGATACAAATTCCATATTCTTTGCTTTAAGCCAAGATACATATAAAAATCCCACAAGTGTAATTAAAGATCTTAAACCTTTTCACTTCATAAAGGCTCAATTCAAGAGGAAAGAGTTTAGCATGTGTCTCATATAACTAGTCTTAATTATGTGAATGTGCTCACACAAGTAAAGTATAGTGTCTTACTTTAAAGGGTCTTGGTAAAAGGAGGTAGAGAGCGAGTGACAATAACTTCAAACCAAAGGGACAATAACTTCAAACCAAAGGGTATTACTTTAGCTATATGAGTACTCTTACACAATTAACACTAGTAGAATACAACGCATTCAGGACACAGTTTTCTTCAGGTTTCTCAACTCAATATCAGTAGAATACAACAGATTAGGAACTTTCCCCAAGGCTCTTTATCTAGATGCAATGAAACAGAACCATCTGTTAACCCTTGCACTTGAGTCTTGATGAAGTAAAAGTACATGATTTCTTCACAGTCAGATCCATTAGTTAAGTGAAAGGATTTTGTGTCACCTCTACTCGGTGCAACTGTAGACCTGAGGCCTGAGGGTCTTTAGAGGAGCATCTTTATCAATGGAATATCTCCAGTGCAGCTGGACTAATGGGGATCAGACCAGAAGGTGATACAAGTGCATCAACAAGAACATCATTTGGAGTTAGTGGTATAGTGCCCTCATCCAATATCTGCACTGAGTAAGAAAGCGCAACTGCAATCCAAAAGAAAAAAGTCACTGAGCAGCAGCTAAAATCATCTGTTGGGAACAAATCAGAACTGTCACATGCAGTCCTAGAAAGAAGTAACGAAGAAACATACTCTTGAGAGGTTGCTTCCAATTTCGCTCCTTTGCACGTTCCTGATATCTTGTCAAGAAGGTATCGTAATAACTGTTTCACAAGCCATAGGAAGAAAGGATCACCACAAGAGGATATTAGGTTTATAGAAGAGGGAGAAACTTATAATGACTCTTCTCTTATTTTCTTTTTCATGGGTTGCACTTCTCAGTTAAACCTATCACTTCTGAAGAAGATGAAGTAGAGAGTCAAAGATATAAAGCCCTACCCTCCACCACGGCCCAGCCGCCTTCCAGCTTTGTCAAAAGCAAGTCCTTCAAAAAAAGAGAGCAGAAATCAAAATGCAACTCCAAAATTATCTGGTTTCAAGTTTTGAATCCGAGAAGTTTGACGATGAAAAGTTAGGAAGTACTTACCAGGTAAAATTAACAAATCAACAG